TGTTTTGACATTGCTTCATTGCTATTTTTTTCTCATTAAAATGAATAAAAAAACTTTGTATGAAATAAGAAGAAATAAGAATTTTAGGTCTCCCTACACTTCAGGGGAATTTGGTTATGTTTATTTTAAATAACAGTGCATAAAAGGTAGACTCTTTCTTTTATCTTCCTTTCCACTAGCTTGCTACATAAAGTCACACAGCATTAATTTAAATTTTACCCTCAAGTAAACCATTAATTCAAATGTCGTCTTCAGATATGCACATTTCTAAATTTGCTACCATCCACCTGTGGGAGTTAGTCATATTTTCATACTATATAAGGCCTCAAAGGTCTGTTTAAAATCTACTTTGTGACCATCACAGGCTTAGCGTAGATCTAGAGGTATCAGTCCACTTGGAATATCTGGAGTGCAGAGAGGGCAGCAGTCCCAATAGCTACTCTTGTTTTTCTTTTGCCATTATTTGAAAGCCTTGCTAATCTGAAGGACTCAGCTTCATAATCTTATTTGGTTATCTTGAGATTAGTCATTAAAGGTCATTTATTTATTATAGAGACTGTTTCCCAGGTGCCAGTTTATTGAGGGTTCATTAATAATTATTTCATGACCATTCTTTCCCACCACTGCTCATTTGCATGTGTAGAATTCACCCTGTGAGTGTACACCAAGTGTGGATTTCTTCAAGAGTCCAGGCTTACCTGGAATGACATTTTCTTTCTTTACCTTGATAAATTGCTCCTTTTCTGGGAAATGTCCCCCAAGGAATTGAATATTGTGCCTTTAGAAGAGTCTACAACCTGCTGCATTTATAATTGCTGAGATGTATATTTCAGTCCCTTGTCTCCAAGCCTTGATATTCCCATTCCTACTCCCATTGGTTTGCATCTGATTTTTCTGTGTTTACAAAGAACAAGATTTATTATTACTGGTCAGAAGGCATTGGGTCCCAGTATTTCAGCAAGAAGCACTAATCTGCCAGAGTGAGCTATGCTCTGACCACCGTGCAGCCTACTAAGGCAGTCACCCAGGATAGGGCACTGCTGCTTGCAGTTCTTTAGAAATTGTTGAGTTATCTAGGTGCTTCTACCTGTCAGCTCACGTGATTCCTAAAATACTCCCATCAGACATGAAGGGAAGGAAAAGACCACAGTTATCTGTAAACTTATGTAATGCTTATGCCTAGAAGACAGAAGGCATTCCAGAGACTGGCATATGCCACCTACAGTGACTATGTACTGGCACCCAACATGGTCATCTCTCTTTTCTCAGGTAACTTAAGGAGTGTTGGGTCATTGGCCTCCCATGAAGCAAGCATCCTCAAATGGTCCTGATGCCTTCTTTCACTTACTACTCATAAAGCATGAGAAAGTCTTATTAGACTTGTTTTTTGGATGGAATGATTGAAATTCCCAGAAGTTAGGTCATCGACTGCTGATAAAAGCAGAGTCCATCCTAGGATTTGGGTTTCCAAAGTCCAGTGAGGCTCAGGGAATCCTGGCTTCTTTCCGAGCATTGTGTTCTTGGAACACACAGATCAATTCAAGCTCCTTTTCAATTTTCCCATACCTCATGGCTTGGCTTAGGAAGGTAGCACACAACAGATAGGGCATAGGTAACGTTAGTCACTTGAAGGATTTTAACCTCTTTGTGGGCTCCAAGGAAGGATGCACAAACCTCGTGACCAGTCCAGTGGTATAGGTAGGGTAAGTTCAGAGCTCAGTGAGCTCTGTAATGCACCAGGTTAGTTGTTAGAAATGAGTCACCAGTGGCCTGGGGCAAGCCAGGCTCAGTCCCTTACTAAACTATCGGGAACCAAGCAGACAACAAACTCCCCTCTGGGAGAATATCCTAATAATATGCACTAGAATTTGCATTCCTCTCTGCAGTTTGCAAAGCACTTTCAGACCTGTGTCCTTCATTAGCAGTATTGCTTACTAGACTAATGGTAAATAGGACCAGGATTTGAGAGCACATCATGTGGTGGGTTTTATGTGTCCGTAATGGTAAAATTCTTTGTGAAGATGAAATTCTGTATAGTACTGTTGTACATAAAATAGATACAAGTGGAACTTCTGTGGTGAAGCAGGGACAGGTAAGGGGATAACCCATTTCTTATGCCTCTGCACTGAACTGTGTGATCTCTATGTGTGGTTGTGAGGGTTCTCCAAGGAATCTCCAGGTGTAGTGCCTTGGAAATATCATTTTACTCCCTTCCTCCAAGCAAAGGAAGCCTGATCCCTGGAGAGCACAGGAGGTGTTGCAGGCAGTTCTGCATCAGGAAACCAGCCAGGGCTGCTTCTCTTGTAGTCAGGGCCTGAGGCTCTACCTGGGGGCCAGTTTGCCCCTAGTTGTTGCAAGAAAATGTCCTTTCAGTCACCAACAGCCTCAGGACAGCTCTTCCCTGCTACTGGCTGCTTTCTCAAAGTGCTTGCTTTTTAGGTGAGAGTTCAGAGGCACTGTTTTCATTTCAGACAAGCAGCCCTTTGAATCCAGGGCCACCAGCCACAGAGAGGAGAGGGAATAGGTTCAAATAGTGAGTTTCAGCCCCCATTGTCCCCACAAAAATGCAGGGTACAAAGCTCTCCCACCTGAAATATATATCCTGGACCAATGATAAGGCCATGGTTGTCATAAATGCCACCCACTTGCACACTTTAACAAAGACTAAATGATAAAGTTTATGTTATGCATATGTTAAAGTAATAATAGTTTTAGAAATTTACACTGGCTCTTTATTTGTACAGGATCAAGTTCAATCTCACTGGCATAGACAACAAATCTGGCTCCTATCTCTCGTCTCATATTTGCTGTCCTTCATCTAATCGCCTCATCTGATCTATTATTCAAGTCAATCTCTATACTTGAAGGTTCTTAAATTTCCTTCTTGTCCTTACTACATACATATATCCAGGGCTTTAAATTTACAGAACTTCCAACTTTCATATACTGCTTATTCTATACTCCTATGTACATATAACTAGTGCTGAGTATATGCAGGACTTTTGAGTCCTTTAATCTTCACCAATTCTATGAAGTAGATACTATTACTGAGTCCATTTCATGCCTGAAGAAGTCATGCCATTTGTAGGCAGCCAAGACAGGACTTGGACCCAGGCATTTGGCTTCTGAATCTGCTCTTCACCATAGACTATTGCCAGTGGCTGATGGTCTCTACTGCTTCATCAGAAGAATCCTTTCTCATCCTCTGGAACTGGCTCTGGGTCACCTCCCCCGAGAAGTCTCCCTGATATCCCTAGGAAAGAGTGTGACTCCCTTTCCCTAGGACCACAGCACTGAACAGCACTCAGTCATCCCTTGGCATTTAGGGTATCCATGGGGGACTGGTTTCTGGGACCTCCCCAAGGATAGAAGACTCTGTGGAAGCTCAAGTCCCTTCTATAAAAATAGTGTAGCCTTTGCATAAAACCTACTCATATCCTTCCACAGACTTTAAATCATCTCTGGATGACTTACCACAGACATATTAACACAATGTAAAGCTATGTAAATAGTTCTTAAACTATATAATAGTCCAGGCAATAATGATTGTAAAAGTCTGTACATGTTCAGAACAGGTACTGTTTTTAAAGGTTCTATTTTTTAAATTTTTCTATCCTCAAATGTGAAGGTCCAACTGCATTTTGTGGCATATATTCTATCATGAATAACAGCCTGCTTCTAAATCTCATCCTTCCCAGAGTATGAGGTCCTTGAAGACCAAGTCTTATTCATACCGTGGGACTGACCCTTGAGCATCCTGTGTATTTTATGAATGAATGGGTAGATGCATGGCTGGGCATATTTTTCTATATTTTTTTCCAGTAAATTACAAAAATGTTACCTTCTTTCTGAAACTTTAGTCTGGTTCCACAAAGATCCCGCCACAGTCACTGGTAACCACTTTCATTTTCTATGTATTTCATCAGACAACCAGTCAAATCCACGCGGATTTGCTTTTGGTAGTTCACATTAAAAATAAATACTGCTCTTGATTTAATCAAAGCTTACTATGGGTAGACATGGAATGGTGATCCAAACTATGGCTTTCATATTTTCAGAGTCCAAATACCTCCTTCAGAGAATATGACAATGGCTGTCCCTCTCTGAGATTTATGGAGTGGGGTAGATGGGGAGGAGTGGGTTCATGTTCGTAATGTTCATGTAGCTGGTGAGTAAAGGCAGGAAGGAAGAGTGGATGCATGTTTGGGGGATGAAAGGATGGCTCAAATGACAAGTGCATGCACGAGAGGAATACGGGTAGGTGGAGGCCTTCGGTATGTGAATGGACAAGTGGAGGAAATGGTATACGTGTAAGGGTTTATAAAGAGATGTGACAGGGAGGAAAGAAATGATGGGGAAGATGTCTGGGTGGATGGGTGGAAGAATTGGTGTCTAGACGGGTTAATAGGCAAAGCGGCAAGATTGGGGTTGGATCAGCGCGAGGTTGGAAAGACGGAGGGAAGTGGCTGGATAATGCAAGAATAGGGCTTGTGGGTGTGTGAGCCTGGGAGAATGGAAGGAAAAGATTTGTAGATAGGTAGGTGGGTGGATGGGCGTGTGAGTGGGTGGCAACGCAAAGGCGGATGGCCGAGGAGGATGAACGCACCCTCAACGGGAACAAAAATCCTCCCGAGCCTCATAAACTTCACTTCCCGCCGAAGCGGAGGAAGATTCCGTTCTCCCTAGCTCTCCTCCCTCCCCACCCTGGCCTGGAAAGCACCATTATCCTGGGCAGGACTTTCCCACTGTCCCAGCGCCTCTCCCGGGATACCCAGCTCCTGGGAAACACAAGCAATCATTCCCCAGCCTACTCAGAAATTTAGCGGGAAAGGAGAGGCCGGGGACTGAATCAGCTGGGCGAGGCTTCAGGACTCAGTCACCCTTCTTTGTGAGGCCGCCCTCCGGGAGGGCGGGTGTGCAGGGGAAGAGGAGAGCCCTAGGGCGCCCAGCCAGGGGGGCGCAGAGTGGTGACTCCGAGCTGCTACGCAGGCGCACTCGGGACCTCCCACCCCATCTACAACTTCACAACTATTTCGGACAGCTCGACCGCGCGCAACGGCAGGAGGGCTGGTGCGTCTTTAAACCGCTGCCGGCGGCTTAGTCACAGCCCCTCGTTTGGGTGTGTCCTCCCCTCGCTCCCTCCCTCTTAGGTCACTCTTTCAACCCTTGAATAAAAACTACTGCCAACTTCCGAGGCGGCCTCATTGCCCAGCGGCCCCCAGCCTCGGACAGGTCCGGTCCGTCTTCCTGTCCCCGTTCTCTCGTGTCCCCGCGCATCGGGACCCTCCAGCTTCACTCCCTTGCGCTCCAGGTTCGCTGACACCATGGACAAGTTCTGGAGGTGCACAGCCTGGGGATTCTGCCTGCTTCATTTGAGCCTGGCCCAAACGATCGGTGAGTGCCCGCTGCAGCCCGGGCAGCACGAGCGGGAGCCCAGGGTGCCTAGGACCCCGCTGGAGCCCCGTGGTCTGAGCGGCTCCCCGGGGGGATGGGTGGGGTGCTGTAGTCGGGTAGGTGGAGAGCGACTTGGATGAGACTCGGGAAAGCGAGGCTGGGATTCGCGCTAAGAAGTTGGAGAGCTTGGAGGTGGGAGGAACCTTTTTGTTAAAAGGAAAAGAGAAAGAAAGAAAAGTTTGCCGGGCAGGCTTTCCCGTGCGCAGTTTTGGGTGAGGTCTCTGGAGCCGGAGCACATGGCAGAAAGTAACTGTACTGGGGTGGAGCGCAGCAGCCGGTGCCTGGACGAACCGGCTCCAGTGCCCAAGGGCTGGCTGGCCAGCGGGGCCGAGGCTGAGGCTTGACAGGCTGGCGCCGGGCAGGGATAGGGGCTCTTGGCCGGCGGCCAGACTTGCAAGAGCTTTGAGTTTTCCAGAAAGGCGTCCGGGCAAGTGGCTGGGGAGGCGCCCCGCGGAACCTGGTTTCCGAAGCTCTCGCAGTCAGCCACAGTCGCTGACCACCACGAGGCTCATGGGAACTTGAACCAGCTCTGCGGAGAGCTTCTGAGTGGCTCTGTGGTTCCAGCCTGGGTCGGGGAGGACTCAGCGTGACAAGGGCCAGCTGCTCAGTGCCTGCGACCTCCTCGTGTGCCAGTCAGGCTGGGGAAATCCAAGCTGTAGCGTGGTTCCTGTTCCCTGGCAGTGGGAGGGAAGCCTGCAGCTCCAGGGCCCCATCCAAACCGCGCTGCCTGCTTCTGGTGGCTGCGGAGGGGAGGGGCCCCGCGAGGTATTCCAGGGTGGCTCAACTCCAGGCGATTCTTTTCTTTGTATATGGACAGATAATTACACGGCTGATTTGCTTATCGCTAGCAAAATTAATTTTTCTTTTAAGAAGTGCCAGCTGCGTAATTAAGACAGCTCAGCCTATGGTTAATTCTACTTAGCAGTATTTATTAAGTCCAGTCCTGGGGGGATACCAAAAAAGAAAAGAAAAGAAAAAAAAAAAAAAAAAAAGCAAAACACAGTCCAAACTGGGTACGTTAGACTGAGCATAGGTGGGATCTAGAATGTTGATTCCTAGTGCAGAATCAACACAAATAATAACAGCAGAAGTAGTCAGAGCTGCTGTTGGCCACCCACTTCCCTGTTGGGTCTCCGTGTTAAACCTTTATGTGCCTGATCTCATTTTACATGCCTAAAGGCTGGGTAAGAAGTGTCCTATTAGGGCCGGGGAGATGGCTCAGTAGAATAGGCACTTCCTAGGCAAGTGCAAGGGCCTAAATTCAATCCCAGGGTTCTGCAAGTGTCCTATTAATAGCCTTGTTTGCAGGAGATAAACTTAAGCTCAGAGAGGTTAAGTAACGTTTTGGCATTCACTGAGCAGGGGTGGTGTAGGATGTGAACTCAGGTTCAGTGAGTTCCAAGCCCTAAGGCTCTGGTCAAAATCTGTTATATATGGAATGGGTGAAGTCAGAGAGGATTTCAGGGAGGGGGGAGTTCTGGTGGACCTGAGGCCTGAGCAGAATCTAAGGGTGAGCGGGACAGAAGGGAGACCAAGGGAACCCTGCACCTGGCCTCCTGGGAAGTCGGTTTTGTGTTCTGTGCCAGTACCGTCTCCTGGCTCCTTTTTCTCCCAAGTGTTGTCCTGCTCCTCCTCGGGTTATCCTAGAGTCCCCAAACTTCCCTCCTGCCTCAGGAAGAGTTTCTGGGCTCCCTTTGGGCAGCATCTTTTGAAGGAAGCACAGGGAGACTACTTACCCTTGGCTTTCATGTGCTTGTGAATTTGTTTGGAAGGAATGGAGCTTTGAGAAATGGACAAGACTTAACAGAGAGGCTTGGGGGTGAGTGAGCAGGCTGGGGAGGAGAGGTGGGGAGAGTGAGGGGGAAGGAGAAGCTTTGTGTTCCTGTGCTCTGGAAGACAAAGTGGAAGCTTTGGAAAGGGCGAGTCTTGGGGTCAATTGGAAAGAGGAAGGAAGAGTGTGATCATTGTATCAGAAATCAGAAAGTAGAAAAATGGCCAAAGGAGATCATTCCATGTTGGATCCGAAAGCTGAGGAGTAGGAGAACAGGCACCAGGGATCGAACTCAGGACTTTGCACTTGCTAGACAGGAGCTTATGTCCCTGAGCTCTATCAGAGGCCCAGGGGACAGGTATCTTCAATGAGGAGTTAGGGGATGGGGCACACAGGGAGGGCACCATGGGAGTGGCTTTAGGTAGAGGGTAGCCTGATGGGTTCTCCTTTTGCTTCTGTGGTGAGAGGTATTGCTCCACAATTGTCTCTCTGGTGTTGAGAAAGAGGGGTGTGTCTGAGAGCCTGGGGTTTAGGGGTGGCAAGCACCTCTGTGCTGTCACTAAGAATTGGAGATGCCTCCCTTGCTGGGAGCTACAACTTTGGCTGTTTTCCCATGAGGAGAAAGGAGGAAGCAAAGCTCCATCCCACGGAAGTTCTCATTGATGAACTCAGTTATTCCCTGGATAGGCACTGGGCACCAACTTCTTGTGAAGTGTGGTGACACATACGTGCACTGGAAAGTTGGTGCCATGGTGAAGAGGATCCATTTTCTTTCAAAATGCCCCAATGCTGGACTGAATGAAATTCCTTGTTTATGACAGATCATCTACTGTTCATTCAGTAAATATTTTCTGATTCACTGTCATAGACTCAGGGACAGCAATTCCAAGGAGCATTTAGAAAAACCCCTCATGTCTTTCCTAAGAGGAAGCAAACCACAAAAGACAGGCACTGGTGACTTCCCCTTCCGGAGACATGTGAGGGTGTTACAACAGGGCACTTTTAACACATGCTGTGTTGGAAAAAACCCTGTGGTCCAGGACTCTAGGAGCCCCCACCCTACTCCCTGTAAGTTCCAGGAGGCAACACTTGCTTCATACCTTCAATCCGTCTTGTACAACTCCCTGCACAATATGTCCAGTTGAACATGGAAATGATGGTGTCTGTATCTTACTATAAAGCAATGTGAGTACATGAGAAACAGTTGTCATGTTCCACGGCTTAGTGCCTCCTGGAACATCACTGGCTGGTGGGAGCACCCCAGCTTTAAAAACCAGCCACTCTGCTTTTGCAGGAGATGGTTTTGTACAAGGCAGGGCCATGAGTCTCTAGGAAATGCCACCTGTAGTGCACTGACTGAGCTAGGCCTTCAGCTGAGGGGTTAGCATAGATTCTCTTACAGAAGCCTCATAGCGGCCCTACATATTAGTATTTTCGCATCTCTATTTTCTTGATAAAGAAATTGAGGCTCACTTGGAGATGATATGACTTGCCCCACACTGCAGCCATAGAGTTGGGATTCCCCATTGTCGACCCCACCCTTATCTCCTCTGTGGCTATTATGCCCCCCCTTGTGACACCCATGTCTGTGCGTCTCCCACTCTCCAGAGGACTTTGGAAATTGCTGTGGTCTTCCCGCCCTTCCTGTCCCCTGTGGCTAGGGTAGCCCGACATGAGGTTTTCCCTCTGCGCTCTGCCAGGCTGTGGACTCTTGGTGGTTCTGCCCTGCCCTGTCTTGACCTATCTCTTTCCAGGCTTGGCCACAGCTGTCAGAGATGCCAATCTAGTTATTTCATGCTAAAATAAGTCAAGTCCCTTATCAGAGCCCAACTGCCCTTTGAGACATGCCCTCATTCACAGGCTTGGAAAAAAGGGAGAGGCTGCTCCCTGGCTAAAAGACAAGTCAGGGCAATGCTCGCTGCCTGAACATTGAGAAAGAGACCTGCACTCTCTCATGCTGGCCCGTAGGCTTCTCAGATGTGGTGACCCACCTGGCCTCTCTGCCACTTGCTCATTAGCCAGTTCTGTGTGTTCCCAGTGCGGGAAGATCTTGAGATCCCAGAGAGTGGGGTGCCATGGTTCTCTGCAAACATCATGTGGTCCCCAAGCGAGGTTTCAAATCAGCCTGTGGTGTGAGATGATTGCAGCCTGAGGCACCTTGAAAAAGAAAAGATGGGGAGCAGTGAGCTGGGCCTCCCTCGCGGTGCATCCTGGGAGAGAGGACAAGATCCTCACCACAGTTGTGTTTCCCCAACACCTCCGTTTTGGCTGATTCTGCCTAGAGCTCAAAGGAAGTGATTCTTGTGAAAGAATGAGCCGCAGCAGGTGGCAGATGCTCAACAGTTTTCACAGGGGATCTTTTCTATCTCAGAGAAATTCTGGGGATTCGCACAGAGAGAGGCTGATGACTCAACTTCCTTTGTGGCTCTGTTTGAATGAGAAGGGGACGCTTGGGGAAGAGCTAGTGCCTTCTACCTGAAATTCAAACTCCACTTTTCACTCACTTAGCAAGTGAATTCGTTCTTAAAAAGCATCCTGCCAGTCAAAAAAAAAAAGTCAAAAGCAGCTGGGCATGTAACATTGCACAGGCTCTGGGTTTAATTACTTTCTCTAAGCTAGCCAACAGGCCAATAGTGGGAAGTCAGCCTCATTTGCCAGAGGAATGGAAGGACGGAAGGAGTTCTTCTCTTCTCTGTCTTCTGCAGCCCTAGGAGATCCCCTGGCTGTCAGGGACTGTATTTGTGATAGATGCATTGTTCTGGGCAGGGCTGGGGAGTGGGCTGGGCTAGCCAGCTGCCCAAGTGCAGCCTTCTGTTTGTGGCTTGGGTGGCTGCTTGTAGTAGCTAGGGATACCTGTCTAAGAAAAGGGTTACTAGATAGCTGGGCTGAGGAGGGAGAGGGAGCCAGGCAGGCTGATGACACCAGCACTAAATGTAAGTCTCAAAACGAAACACCCTCCAGCAATGACCCAGCTTTCAAGTCTAGTGATTTGGGAGCTGCTGATTGGAATGTGGAGTCCTTGGATGAGAGACCCACAGCCCTCAGGCCCCCACACTACTTCCAGGTAGGGGTGGCAGAAGGGAGAGAAGCAGAAGGGCCTCACAGAAGATTCTGGCTGTTTTCAGTGGGTCTCTTTGGGTAATCAGCCAACTTCCATCCAACCTGGCGC